GGATTCAATGCGATGGAATAATCTCTGAGAATATCAAACATCTCTTGTAAGTGTTTCACTTGATCAACAGCTTTTACTGATTTGACTAACATATCATCGACATAAACTTCCACGGTGCTTCCAATAGGTTTGGCAAACATTTTGTTGACAAGTCTTTGATATGTGGCTCCAGCATTCTTGAGACCGAATGGCATCATAGTGTAGCAATACAGACCTCGGGCAGAGTAAAAAGAAGTATGTTCCGCTTCCTTAGGATCCATTGGAATTTGATTATAACCCGAATATGCGTCCATAAAGCTCATCAATTCATGTCCAGATGTGGCGTCACCATATAATAAATATGTGGCAACGGGTAATTATCCTTTGGACATGCTTTGTTCAAGTCGGAAAAATCGATACAAAGTCGCAACATACCGTTACTTTTCTTAACTAGTACAGGGTTAGATACACAAGTCGGGTATTTTGCTTCTTGAATGAATTTATTGTCAATAAGCTTTTTGAATTCTTCTTCGAGGGCCTTTTAACGATCTGGACCGAGTTTATGTCTCTTTTGAACAACCGGTTTTAACGCAGCGTGCAGGTTAAGCCGATGACTGGCCACTTTGGGGTCAATGTCTTTCATATCTTCATGCATCTAAGCAAATACATCAGAGTTTGCTCAGAGAAATTGGATAAGTTGGGTTCGTATAGGCTCTTGGAGGTTGGCCCCAATTCGAAGTGGTTTGCCACAGATAGGCTCGTCAATGAAAATTGGTTTGATTTCTTCAGACGGTTCAGCTCGGTGGATTTTGCTTTTCTCTTCAAACTGCGTTCGTGGATCAAGTTCATCCTCTTTCTTCATTGGTTCTGCTGATGCTAAAAAATGTCAGCAACAGGGGGTGAACTGTACACTAAATTGTATACTTTGTTCAATCTGCACGAATAGATTTGTTCTGAAAATATGGGTTGAATACCTATTTTATTCATGACTTTTGAAGGAGAATACATTAATTAAATTATAGAAAAAAAATAAGAAAATATTATTGCCTCTCAGAGAATTTTTTTTTTTTTTTTTTCNTTTTTTTTTTTTTTTTTATGTTTTCTCTCCTTTTTTCTTTTGAACGAATGTCCTCCTCTTTTCTCTCCATCATTGAGGCTTTATCTATACTAGTTTATAGTGTAGTACATTTGTACTACAGGTACTATTCACTATATGTGGTACAAATGATATTTTACTTGTTGTCCTGCTCGGTCCGGACTGTCTGTTCCTATTCTCTATTTATTTATTTATTAACTGTAGCCAAATTGGGTACCAACAAGAGGCCCCCGAGTTTAGAACATGTTCTGAACAGAACTGTTTTGAAGTCGCGTTTATTTACAATTTGGCAGTGCTTATGCTTGTAGTAGTTTGAGCTTGGGGCCCTTTACGCTATGATAAATGATGTTGGTGTGATACATAAGATCACATTTTTATCTTATCGGTGTTTACGAATGGATGCGTGTTGATAAAAAATTTTGGGTGCTTTGGGATCCTTGTACGCTTTGCCGATTGTTTTTAGGCTTTGGCCTGACAAATCTGTTTAGTTGCGCTCTTCTGCACTTTGATGAGTGCGAGTCAGTGGAATGGATAGACATCCTTTGGAATTGCTATTGAATGGGGCCTAAATGGCCTGGTCGGGTAATTTGGTACCCGATTTTGTGTTTTGTGCAATGCGAATAGTTTGTTCGTTATTTGTAAAGATGGTAATGGTATGGATTTGTGCGGGCACTCGGGCCCCTTGGACTTTTAGCGATTGGCATGAAGACGCTCGCTGATATGATTTGCTTAGCGGTTCTGAGTTGACCGTATTGGCGGTTCTTTGCCGTATTTGGGTGATTCGAAAATTGATTTATGTGATCGTTTTAGTACTTTATGTTGACCTGGTCAGATAATTTGGCATCCGGTCTTTGGCCGTGTTTCTCGTAGGAATACATTTTTGGATACTAAACATGAATGAGCTTCGAGCTCTTTGTCTAAGTGAGCTTTTAGCTCTTTGTTTGATTGAGCCTTGGGCTCTTTATTCTAGTGAGCTTTTAGCTCTTTATGCCATGCAAGAGTGTATGCGTAATGCGAGCATGAGATGAATGCGTGAGTTTATGATAAATGTATGTGATGGATGTTCGATGCTCTTAGCGCCTTGAATCTTCCATGTTATGTGAATGAATGTCTTTCCCGGACTAGTTAGCGCTGTCCGGTTGTAGGGTCGATTATCCCCGTATGATTTCGTTCATTCTGCACTTGATAAATTTACGTTATCCGGTCGTTTACCCTTATTGGGTTTTATTCGTTTTGCGTTGGACATTTATATTGTCCGGACTTATTACCTTAACGAGGTCATATTTTAATGCCGAACAAATTTACGTCGCCCGGTCGTTTTCATTTTGCGTCGACTGGCCTTATTACCCTAATGGGGTCTCATTAGTTACGCCGGACAAATTTACGTTGTCCGCTGGTTTTACCCTAATGGGGTTTCATTCGTTTTTTGCGGCTCGTAGTTTTATGGCATTGCGGCCTCGTGGCTCATAGGTTCAGTCGGAATCGAGGCTCTGTGGCGAGTGAAATATGGATGTCGGTTTCACCAAAGTCGAGGTTCTACGGCGATAAAATTTAGATGTCGACTCAGCCGGAGTCGAGGCTCTACGGCGATGAAATTTGGATGTCGACTCAGCTGGAGTCGAGACTCTACGACGAGGTAATATAAATGTCGACTCAGCCGGAGTCGAGGCTCTATGTGAGGAAATATAAATGTCGACTCAGACGGAGTCGAGACTCTACGGCGAGGTAATATAAATGTCGACTCAGTCGGAGTCGAGACTCTACAGCGAGGAAATATAGATGTCGACTCAGCTGGAGTCGACACTCTACGACGAGGTAATATAAATGGCGACTCAGCCGGAGTCGAGACTCTACGGCGAGGAAATATAGATTTCGACTCAGCGGGAGTCGAGACTCTACGACGAGATAATATAAATGTGGACTCAGCCGGAGTCGATGCTCTACGGCTAGGTAATATAGATGTCGACTCAGCCGGAGTCGAGACTCTACGACGAGGAAATATAGATGTCGACTCAGCCGGAGTCGAGACTCTACGGCGAGGAAATACAGATGTCGACTCAGCCGGAGTCGAGGCTCTACGGCGAGGAAATATAAATGTCGACTCAGCCGGAGTCGAGACTCTACGGCGAGGAAATATAGATGTCGACTCAGCTGGAGTCGAGACTCTACGGCGAGGTAATATAAATGTGGACTTAACCGGAGTCGAGGCTCTACGACGAGGTAATATAAATGTCGGCTCAGTCGGAGTCGAGACTCTACGGCGAGGTAATATAGATGTCGACTCAGCCGGAGTCGAGACTCTACGGCGAGGTAATATAAATGTCGACTCAGTCGGAGTCGAGATTATACGGCGAGGAAATATAGATGTCGACTCAGCCGGAGTCGAGACTCTACGGCGATGAAATATAAGTGTCGACTTAGCCGGAGTCGAGACTCTACTGCGAGGAAATATAAATGTCGGCTCGGCAGAGCAGGGGCACGTCGGCGGGCTTGGTGGATATGTCGGCCTGGCCTGAGCGATGGCTCAACGGCGGTCGAAATAATGAGGTCGGCTCGGCAGAGCAGGGGCTCGTCGGCGGGCTAGGTGGAGATCCCGGCGAGCAGGGGTTCGTCGGCGGGCTAGGTGGAGATGTCAGCCTGGTCAGAGCGATGGCTCAATGGCGGGCGAAATAATGAAGTCGGCTCGGCAGAGTAGGGGCTCGTCGCCGGGCCGGATGGAGACATCGGCATTGCCGGAGCGAGAGCTCAACGGCGGGTGAAATAATGACGTCGGCCTGTAAATGAAGGTCGGATGATTGTTTCGGCTACAATTAGCTTGGTGGTCTGTGATCTGATCGTGATTTCAAGCTTGGTTGTGATCACGTGGTTCGGCATTTTTCAGATCAAGTGATAGGCTTGTCGCTTTTGTACCGCTCGCAGGTTCCGGCACACCAAATGGAGACATGTTTGTCTCAATTGTGGTCGGTCGCCTTTAGTTTTGCCAACGGGTGGTTATCGGTTCGGCGAATTGATTCTGACGGCGAAATGGTGGGCCCCCGTTACGATGCGGGGATCCGTCGGCAAATAGTTGTTGCGACTTTGGCTATCTCGTTCTTTGATTCTCTCTTTTCACATATATAATATATATATCTGGTATGTATACATTCGTGTACATATTTATTCTTTATGTATATATATATACATATATGTAAGTATTTATTTATAAAGAAATTGAGTGTAGGATTACCTGGGGTCGGTGCAGAGTGTAGGCTTAAGAATATTACCGACTGGAGATGTCGACTCCTTTTTCACCTTTATTCTTCAGGCCCCCGCCGAGCTCCTTGCCTTCGAGGCTTTTGGTCGTTTACTCCGGCCTAATTCTATCTATTACAACACTTCTAGGGTCCTAGTCATCACTCTCTATAAATAACTTTACAAGATCATCTATCTCACATAAATAATTTTACAAGAGCACATATTCTTGGCCCAATGTTCCCATTTTTCTTGAAAGTTTACAAGCCCCTATATTCATTTATTGGGCCCAAATTTCATCTAAGTTTTCCCAACTTCCCAGCCTACATACATAGAGGAAGGGAAATTTGGCTTCATTACCACATATTCACGCTGGCTACAGGGAGAAGAGGCCCGATTTTTATCTGGAAGCGATGGAAAAATTCAGCTCGGTTCGATAATTTTGGGGGCGAGCCAGACTTCAACAATGAAGTGATCGGCCCTAGCGACGCGATTTGGAGATCGAGCGGCAAATTTGGAGACTCCGTTGTGGTGAGGTCGGGCCCTAGCCGTAATTTGGCGGTCCGTTCGGTCGGCGGTGTTAACCTCTTCTATGGTGAGGTCGATGTAACATGGTCGGTCCTCCGAGTGCTGTAATTTTGGGGCCGGTGACGTCGACTATGGGAGGCCCGGTAGTGTGTGTTCGTGGACGCGGCTACTCGGTTTCGAAGAACGAGTAAAGGTGTTCGGTCCATTTTTTGGTGGTCGTCACGAATTCGGTTCGTGGTCGTGGACTCGGCTGTTCAGCCCGGCTATGGTAGGGAGATCCAAGTGGGCCGTCTGTGATGTAAGATCCATGTTCGGCCCGCGTGTGGTTCCATTCGGTCCCGACAGCAGATGGTTCTAGGTTCGGGCCGCGAACGGTGGTAGGTTCGACCCGCGGACGGTTGCAGGTTCGGTGCGCGGATGGTTGACGATTCGGCCCAGATGCCGTCTGTTGTTCAGTTTCGGCAATGGTGGTTCGGCCTGGCTGAGGGGTTGTGACCGAGTTCGGTCGTTGAGAGATGTGGGCCGGATTTGAGGTGGAGATCCGAGCAAGCCATCTTTTTAAGTGAGAAGAAGATGGTGTCGTGGTGAATTTGAGTCCAAGGGAGGTATGTTATCCCTTTTCGTTCAACTTCTGCAACTCCTATCCCTTCTCCTTTTATATATATATATATATATATATATATCTTCAACAACCTCAAATGTAAATGATAACTATACATATACAAATATTGAAAGCACGCATGGCCGCAATTCATCTAATTTTAATTTCCTCTGACTTGATTCTGGGACTTTTAAGCTTGCCCAGAGCTTTTTTCCTTTCTTTTCTTTTTTTAAAGAAAACCTATACATAAAACTATGATATGGACGCAGATATAACCAACGCAACCCGATCTCATCTAATCCGATTTTCTCTACGTAATCTCTTTTATTTATTTCCCAACTTGATTTTTGAGGACCGAATATGTTTTTCTTATGAAATCTGGAAAATTTTGGTGGTGTTCCACAGGTTGAAAAATTACCTCAAGCAGTTATGAGACCCTTCTTCTTGCGCCAATTGTTGATGCTCAAAAATTTCAGCAACAGGGGGTGAACTGTACACTAAATTGTATACTTTGTTCAATCTGCACGAATAGATTTGTTACGAAAATATGGGTTGAATACCTGTTCTATTCATGACTTTTGGAAGAGAATACATGAATTAAATTATACAAAAAAAAAAAAAGAAAATATTATTGCCTCTCAGAGAATTTTGTTTTGATGTTTTCTCTCCTTTTTCGTTTGAACGAATGTCCTCCTCTTTTCTCTCCATCATTGAGGCTTTATCTATACTAGATTATAGTGTAGTACATTTGTACAACAGGTACTATTCATCATATGTAGTACAAATGATATTTTACTTGTGGTCCTGCTCGGTCCAGACTGCCTATTCGTATTCTCTATTTATTTATTAACTGTAGCCAAATTGGGTACCAACAGGTTCTTTACCAGATCGTCTTCCACAATCTTGGATTAAGTCGTTTTGTTAAGTGTTGCGAGCTCGGAATACGCCCCATCCATCTTGGTTTTATTAAGTACTGAGTTGTTAAGTGTTGGCTGTAGATTCACTGGTATTTCCTCGATATTTTCTGCCGTATGTATCATTGGAGAAGGTTCGATCCAAGGTTTAGTCCACACCATTCCTCGGGCTTCATATTGGTCACCATAATGGGTTCTTCTGCATTATTTGTGAGAAATTTAAGAGCGTAGTGGAAAATCGAGACAACTGCACGAGGTTTGTACAGGGCAATTCTTCCCACAATGGCATTATATTCGTTCTTACTATACATCTTCTTGAACGTCTCCATAATAACCTTTGAGGTCTGTCCAGGAACTCCAAACCGAATTGACATAGTGATCTCACCAAGTGTCGGTGTTATGTTCCCGTTAAAGCCTTGAACTTGGTCTTTACAGGGCTTAAGCTCGGTGGGGTCAATTCCCATTTGCTAAAAAGTTTGGAGTATTAAAATACTAGAGTAAGCATCTGTATCCGCCATAATTCTGTGTACAGGTATTCCGCAAATTGGAGCAGTAATAACAAGAGGATCAGAATGAGGATGTGCAAAATAATTCGCATTGTTGACATTGAAGGTGATAGGACAATTTTTCCGAGCATTGATTTTGTCTCGGAGATCAGTTGTCAGAATGGCTTTTCCTGAATTGTATGCTTGTCGGGCATAAGCCTTTGCCTGTCGGCGTGATTCATTCAATTTTGCACCGCTATTATTGATCCGTGAAATATTATTATAACAAGGGGAATTCGTGGAATCACTCCTCTGCTGTGTTCGAGTGTTTGTTGAAGATGAGGCCCTGTTTTCATCCGAGGTAACTATGAAAACTTCTTTATCACGGGTCGATCATGGTCTCCCTTTCTTTTAACTTAGAACTTTTGGCAAAACGTTGGACCTGAGGATGTCCAATGAGCCTTAATAAAACAGAAAGTAGATCAAGACATTCATCCGTATCATGCTCAGCCGACTTCTGATATGAACAATATCTTGTTTTGTCAAGTTTCTCTCCGGGGGTACTCACAGGTCGAGGCTCAGGAAGAATTCCCTTTCCTTTTAGCTCTTCAAAGATGGTTGCAGCTCCAGCCGAGTAAATTGTTTGATAACTTGATTTTACATCATTAACATTCTTGGCTTTAGCTTCTTTCGTTTCGAGGTCAGTTGGATTTCCCTTTGAAGACCCGCTAAACCAGGATTTATTTTGCTTATTCCCGAAAAATTTGTTCTTTTTCTTCTTTGATTCTTGTTCCAACTCTGATTTATTGGAGGAAAAGTCAAAATTAGGAATCGACATCGATTCTTCAACAATGATATGCTGCTGAGCCCGAGGTAAGAATTCTTAAAACGAGCTCGATTTATTTTGGCATAGAAAAATGCTACATGTACATAATAAATGTACATAGAGGTGTACATAATACTCACATGGAATGGGGTCCACTTGATTTTTTATTTTTGGTAGGACCACTTAATGTGAGTGTTATGTACACCTTTATGTACACTATTATGTACTTATAGCATTACACTTTTGGCATATGCTCCAACGGAACATAGAGTTTGGTTTTAAACCTGCTATAGCAGTAACTAACAACGTCTCTGGATGACATTACTCCATGTTTCGGACTCGTTCATTGAATCGTGCAATGTAGTCTTTAACACTCTCGTCCTCCTTTTGCACGATAAATTGATTCTTTTGGAATTAAAGATACTCGGACCCAAGAAAATGAGATTGGAATGCCGACCTCAATTGTTGCCATTTCCAAATTGAATGACGAGGTAGAGAATGGTACCACTTTTGGGCCAGTGGTCCCAGAGTTAACGAAAACATACAACATCTCAGTGCATCAATGGCCCCGTGAAGGTCCATCCATGAAATATACTGACCGAGATGTGCATCTAGATCCGAAGTCCCATCGTAGAGACCGATCTGCGGAACCTTTACTTTTCCAGGTAGTGGTTCCATAGTGAGTTGAGAGGCTAAAGGAGATTCTGCCTCCAGATATACATTATCCAAGGTAGAGGCTCTTCGTGGAGATTCTCCATGAACTCTCTGCCGAGTTTCTAGTTCGATAATTCTTTTACGCAAGGTTTCAAGTTCATTCGACTCGTGCCTAAGGCGATTTCTTTCAATGGAATGACGCAAGTCAGAATGTCTGTCAGGTTGCGGTGTTGTCAGTGGCGGTGGCACCGGAATCTGTTGATGACGTCCTGATATCCTATGCAATAGTGTGTGCATATGAGCATAGGGTAAGTCGGATTGAGTTCCGTACAATAATGTGTACATATGAGCATAGGGTAAGTCGGGTTGAGTCCAATATGATAGTGTGTACATATGAGCATAGGGCATGATGGATTGGGTCCCGTGCGAGCGTGTGTGCATATGAGCCTAGGGCGAGGTAAGTGAAGGATGTGGTGATTTATATTCATGCTGCGATTATGTTGTCAATTGTTATCTGAAATATATTGCATAGTATTCCCACGGTGAGCTTGTTGACTTGCTCACCCCCATATTTAACATTTTCAGGTTGAGTTGGCGGCCGTGATGATGACGGGACGAGGATGGTCTAGGCGTTTTCTAAAAATTGTTTATTTTCTAAAATTGTTTATTATTTGCTTCTGCTTAATGTTTTTGAAACTGGTGTAATGTTTTGTTTGGGATATTATGATGAATGGTTATATTGAGTTGATTATTAAATCATGCCTTGGTGTTGTGATATGTTGGGGCAATGAAGTCCCGTTGATTTGAATGTGGATATAAAATGATTTTGAGTAATGCCCGATAAATGACATTTAAAATTGATTTTTTTTTTTTTAATTTTATAAAAATTTATATCTATTTTGAAAAAAATAAACTTTCTCTTTTTAAAACTTGGAAAATTCTTTTAAAAATTCTTGTGGTGTTACACAAGACAAGTTAACCGGTCAAATAATTTAAATTAATTAGATCAAATAAATATGCTAGAGTTTAGTTAACAAAAATTACTTAAGACAGTTTTAGTTGTACCTGTCAATCAAGCTCCTCTAATTTCATCTCTTTGATTGACGGGATATTTCCATATTGGAGTTCATAATCGCGGATTAAGTTCAAGAGAACTCATATCAATAGAGACGGCAACATCATCATTATCAGAAGGACAATCTCGACTAGTCGACGTATGCTCTTTGGGCTTAAAGAATGATTTAATAGTCTTTCTTTTATTCATTCCTTGACCCTCCATTATAATTGAAACCTATCAAGTTAACAAAAAATAGTAAATTAATAAGGAAGCAAATCGTTGTTCATTGCAAAGAATCATGTTTGCATACATCTTAGGGGCAAGTTATGGTTGTAATTAATTCACACTCTCAATGCTAAGAAATTTCAAGAAGGCTAAATGCATAAATATGTATACTCAGTATACTCATTTGTAACTGCAAAAATATTCACACAAAAATCAGATTGAACAACACCTAAAATATATAGTTACCAATTTCTTTGAAAAAATCTTTAATGAAGAATTTTTTATTGCTCAAGATATACACCAAATGTCTATAAAATGAAGTTTGTACTCTATAAAAAATGAATATCGTGAGAAAATTAATTCCTCGAGGTTCTTCTTTGTATTTTTATCGAACACTTGGTGTGCATAAATTCAAACTATTATATATCTAGTTTTTTTTCTTAACAAACCAATTCCTCTATTTTTTACAACACAATAGTAATGATGTGGACAATAAAATTGTTTGTTACCTCAACTTATACAAGAAATTGAATTAGCATTGTAAATTAAAAAAATAATAATTGCCTTCAGTTTAAAGCTTGGAGCCTTGAAGTTGCCTTGCTTGCTTGCGTGGTGGAGTGAAGATTGGAGATTGGGGGAAGTCGTGGCAGCGGAAAGGTGGCGGCAGCAGCGAAGACGGGCGGAAGGCGACCGATGGAGTCTCGGAGCTTGAAGCTGCGGTGGTGGAGCTGCTGCTTTCGTGAAATCAGATGTGATGTTGGGCTGGTTTAGAGAATAAATGGGCTATGTACAATTTTAGATGCTTTTGTCATATGCTGGGATGATTGAAATAGATGGGATAGACATAAAAATAAGTTTCAGATAATTATGCCTATCACGATCCCACAAGTATTTATTTGCACTCTTACGAGTCGATAAAAAAATTAGCAAATGTGCCAAATCTTGTATTTTTAATTGCAAACGTATGCAACTCTCTCTCTCTCTCTCTCTCTCTCTCAGATATTACGGTACCAAAAACCCTTTTCTCCCTTCTGAAAATCTACATCATCCCTTCATCGGAAATTGTTGCTAAAAATTGCTCAGATTTTCAACGACGTCAGAGCTTCACACCCCACCTACAATAGAAAGCTCAAGGAACTCGCCGCCCTCCGCTTGTCCTCGCCTCTGCCGGAATTCTGCACGTGTTCTGCAAATCCCTAACGCCGCTTTTCATCTTCTAGTGTCGTACGTCTACAGCCGAGCGCATCATCAATTTTGCGTCCCTGTTTGACTGCTCGCACAGGCTATTGTGACCTGGGCATCGGAGGTGGGTGGGGGAGGGCGATCGGCGGCGAGGACAGCGGAGGAGGCGGAGTCGTCTTCATCGTGATCGTAGAATTCTTGTCGTCGATGAGGTCCCCGTTTTCATTGAAGTGGTCAAGGGCGGCGAGGTTATCGACCGAGGCCATCGGAGAATGTGGTGGTTAGGTTTTAGGTCAAAGGTGCACCAGACCAGACTGTATATATGTTGTATATATGTAGTATATGTATACATTGTTTTGTTGTTGTATAGTTGCAGGTATATATGTAGTATGAAAGATTTGAATTGAAAATCATAAGGATCGGCATGGTCCTAGGTATATATGTCGTATATTTTTTCGTATATATACTGTTCATTGATTTTTATTTTTATTTTTTATTTTTTTGCACGGGCTAATTCTGGGGTGAAAGATTGGAATTGAAAATCATAAGGATTGATACGATCCTAGGTATATATATTGTATATCTTTTGTATATATATATTGTTTATTGATTTTGTTGTTTCTTATAAATATTGATAGAGTATGTTTGTGGTATATATTCTGTATATATGTAGTATATTTATCCGAAAATAATTATTCGGCTGGTGGATATGACCGAAAATATCAAAAAGATGATACCAAAATCAGATTCCCTATTTTTTCGCAGTTTAACCTTCATGAAATCATATTTTTGTTGCTTACCATGTGAGAGAAAATTCTTACCATGTGAGAAATTAGTTTAATTGGTGTCAGTTACGGAAATCAAGGAAAAGAAACTGATAATATGCAAGTTTACTAATTATTTGCTCAAGATATAGTAACAGTCCAATTTTTTTCTCTTACTTAAATGCACTTGAAAAGGTAGGCTTGCAAATATTATCTTTCCCTTCGTACATCCGCAAGTAATTTAAATTCTTGTGGTAAAAAAAAAAATTCGCCAATAAGTTTGCCTTGTAATTTTTTGGGGGCTAGATACAAAAACTAGATGGGGCTAGATATAAATTTTCTTAAAAGTTAAAGTTAGTAATTTTTTTTTCCATTACATGGGGCTGGAGCCCACCCTAGCCCAAGGGTGGCTCCGCCCCTGCCTACAATAGAATTTCCCCTTAAATTAAATTCCATTATAAAAGGTAAAAAAAAGCCCCGCACATCATACATCATACTTGAAAATAGATCGAAGGAAAAGTTTTATAAATTAAATATTAATCTTAAATTTTCAATATAACTAAATTTTAAGGATATTTTTTTTTACTATTAATCTTAAATTAAATTTTACGGATATTTATACATAATTTGATGAAAAATTATTATTATTATTATTATTATTATTATTATTATTAATGCTTAACGATAGCTTTGCTAATAAAAATTTTCTTAATATATTGTTGCTAATCTAAATATAAGAGTCTAAACATTGCAATTTCGGTAAATGCCATGATTTAATCGACATTTAAGCCATGATACTTGGTAAAAACATACCTAATCAAATTTCATCACATGCAAAACTAATTCAGGTTGAAATTTCATTCAGCCGCACATGTGTGGATTCAATTTCACAATCAATTGTGTCTATTTTCTCTCTTTCAAACCTAATTTATTTGAAAAATTCTCTTCATTTCATTTTTTCCCTTGGAAAAGCTAATTAGGGCCTCAAAATATCACTATATATTCAAAAAGTATTGTCACCTTTTCTATTTTATTGTTTCACCTACTTTTCAGAAAGTCTAAAGTGAAATCAAAAGACAAGTTGGTTGGTAAAAGAAGAAAATAAAGAAAAAAAAAACAAAATGGTCCTCATTCTTCTTAATCACAGTCTATAAATACAACATGGACTTAAGCCATCTTAGCATCAAAATTATTGACTATATGCTTCTGTTATTCAATCGCATTAAAACTCGATTAATTTCGTTCGATTTTTCTCATCAAAACATGTTGAAATTCTTACCATCTCTCATGATAATGCTACTGTTTTGCTTTTATTTCAACGCATGCCAAGCTCGAATTCTCGCTGAGTATAAGGTAAATTTGCTCTTCTATTTTTTTGTTTTTTTAGTTTAAGAGTTTTTGCCAAGTAACTAGACATATACATTGACATTCACACGCTAATGTATTGTGATAATTGGTAATAGACATGTATAGAAAAGATAAAAATCTATATAGTTGATCACAAGTTAACAAATTCATGGTTTGGCTGCTTATAACAGTTAGATTGTTGTTAGGTAGGTTTAACCATCAGGTATTCATATCTTTTCAACGAATATGCATACTTTCATGCTGAAATTTCATATTAAAAAAAAAAATCGACGTAAATAATATTATGACATTTCATTGAATAAATATTAATTTCTGGTTAAATAGTGTGACGGGTTGATCTATTTAGTTGTTAAGCCATCTCACACAACAATTTTTGTGCATGCAGAATGGTTTTAAATGGCTATCAAACGAGCCTTCCCTTGAGGGCCAAGAGAAACGAGTGTCTTCACACATTGAGTACGCCAAGGTAAATTTGCTATTTTATTTTTTTAATTTTATTTTTCATATTTTGAGTTTAGAATTTTCGTTAAGGAACTATGACAATCACATATGTAGACATATATATAGACTATCCTGTTAACGTATTACTATAATTATATATATTATGTATATGTATATATATGTATATATGATGTGGTTCTAATGATAACCAAGTCCTACCGTGAGAATCATTTTTTTTAATTGTATGTACTGCAATGATTGATTATGTTTTGGTGCTATTTTTAACTAGGATGTATTTTCTTCAAATAGCAACACAATTTATACTAGCATTTTTAAAAACGATACCATCATACACATATAAAAATAGCATCAAACACGGTTCTCACATTATAAGACTAGTTTTTATTTGAATCAGCCCCCATATATATATATAGGGGAATCAAATGAGGCCAGCTCTTAAAATGCGCCCAGCTTTTAAAATACGGACAGCTCTTAGCAACTACAAACAACTAACCTAGCTACTACAGAGAACTAACCTAGCAACTACAGAGAAATAACCTAGCTACTACTAATCTAGCAACTACAGAAAACTAACCTAGCAACTACTAACTTAGCAACAAAAGAGAACTAACTTAGCAACTACAGAGGACTAACCTAGCAACTACAGAGAATTAAGATAGCAACTAGTAACCTAGCAACTATACAGAACTAACCTAGCAACTACAAAGAACTAACTTAGCAACTACAGAGAACTAACCTAGCAACTACTAACCTAGCAACTACAGAGAACTAACCTAGCCACTACAGACAACTAACCTAGCAACTACATAGAACTAACCTAGCAACTACAGAGAACTAACCTAGCAACTACAGAGAACTAACCTAGCAACTACTAACCTAGCAACTACAGAGAACTAGCCTAGTAACTACATAGAACTAACCTAGCAACTACAGATAACTAACCTAGTTGGAAGGTTAGTTATCAACGGTCAACGCCGGAAGTCAACGGTCAACGCCAAGTTAACACATTCATGGTTTTGGTTGTTTTTATAAACTTGTAGAACAATATATTCTTACTGCATATACATAGGTTTTAGTTAAAACTTCATATTCTGAAAAACAAAGATATTTTTAAAATAAGTACTTATTTTAATTTGAAAAATATGTCGAGTCAACTTGTTTAACCTTTAGTCCGTCTCAGACATTAACTTTTTGTGCATGTAGAATAATTTCCCTCAGACTGTTGATGTAAACGATCCCCCCTGCCCAGGGAAACGAATTTGTTGACACATTGAGTATGTCAAGGTAAATTTTCTCTTTCATTTTTTATTTTTTCATATTTAGTTTTTGGTAATTATGAGCTATGCCAATCACATATGTAGACATATATATAGACTATCACACGTTAATGCATAATTACTATTATTATAATTGGTAAAACATACACACACACATACACACATATATGTGTGTGTGTGTGTGAAGAACAATATATTTTACCCGAATGTACATATTTTCTAGCTGAAACTTCATATTCTAAAAAAACAATGATATTTTATAGAATAAGTATTTATTATTATTAGAAAAATTTGACGAGTCGACAAGTCCAACCGTTAGTCCGTCTCACTCGATAATTTTTGTGTATGCAGAAAGATTTAGCGCCATAACCATCAAACATTCCTTTAGTTTGGGCTCAGAAGAAACAACAACTTTAACAAAAGGGTCTGGGCCACAATTAAGTAGAAAGCCCAACAAACATCAAGGACCTCAACACGCCAAGGCTTGCAGCATATTTACATTACATTTCGTTTAATTAAATAAAGTCATAATAAAAATCAGATGGTTTATGGAGATTTTAATGTTTTCCTCGTTAGTTTATTGAAAATGATCAGAGCATGTTGTTGTCATGTAATATGGTGCTTTAATTAAATAAAATAAATTATCCACTATCTATATCCTTGTTAAGCATTTACTATAAATGGTATGTTATCAAAAACTTTGAGTTACTATCATATGAAACTAGTACAATTCTCGTGTTCATTAATATTTATAAATTAAAAATTATTAAGTAATATTTATAAATTTGAAATATAGAATCAATAAGTAATATAAGTTAACATTATTAATTTATTGATAATGTTATATGGAATTTAAATTGTGCAAAATTACATAAAATATTTCAATTTAAAATTTGTAAACAACTCATACGGTGCACGTAACTGATAATAAATTACATTGTATTAATTTCAAAATAACTGTTGTTTTAAAATTTTTATTCAAAAATTTGATTTGATACAATGTGATTACATAAAATAATTATTTTGTTAAAATTTTATTATGTATTTAGAAATATATGTAAATAATTAGTATAATTATAAAACTCGTATTTTTCCATTAATTGAAATGTATATATTTTTTTTGTATAAACTATCCGAATGAAAAAAATTTAAGTAGTTGAGTAATTTATTATACTATAAATAATTGACTATCCCATTTACGTCCAAGTTAATATTGACCCGTAAGTTATGAATAATTTCTTATCTGACTTTTAAATTTGAACTACAAAATAAAATCTCTCTCTCACACACACACACAATATATATATATATATATATATCATATTCTCATTGGATCCTATATATATATATATATATATAGTATATAAGTAGGATCCAATGAGAATATGAGATAATGAAATAAATGAGAATGAATCTAGACCATTAGATTCATCAAATTAATGGTCATGATTAAGTCAATCTTTAATAATATTAGTAAAATATAGGATGACAGTATGGTAAATACTTGAAACTTTTGTGGTTAAATATATTCAATTGCCCACAAGTTAAGGGTATAATGGTCACAAAAATTACACCTCATCTAGTGGACCCCACGCCATCTCTCACACACACTAAAACACACACACACATACACAAATATCACCACTCACGCATACAGTCCACACAGACACCCACACACATCAGAGCCGACCCCTCGCCGACGACCGACGACCGCTGCCACCACCATCAGCAGTCCTCCTCCGCCTACCGCAGTCGACCGTCAACAGCCAGTCGAGCAAGTCGCCGCCGACATTCCACCAACGCCACCAACAATCTCCAGCACACTCGCCAGTGCCACCATTCCCCGTTACCCCTGCAACTCGACGGATCGCTGTCGTTTCGCCGCGAGGGTATCGTACACATTCGCCGAATAATAGCCAGAAATTAAGCTCCGCAGATCCGCTGAGGAAGTGGAGCCGTCATCGTACTTGCCGGAATCCTGGCGATCCGACACGTTGATCTGGTCGCTCGAAAAACCGATATTTACTTTTTTGGGCTGATGAAAATGGATTGTGGTGATGAATTGCTGTAGATTGGGAAAGATGAATTTTGGGGTTGTTTGGGAAAATTTGATATGTTACCGGGGCCTTATTGCAATTTTTTGATTTCATATATTTCAATTAACTTCCCAAGGCAAATCTGTAATTAATAAAAAAATCATGGACTTTGATGCAACTTCTAAAATTTAAATATATTACAATTTAATTTATAGGTAAGATTTGTAAATTAACAAAAAATGTAATAAATGCACAATAAAGTGGGTTATATGCACATTAAGAAAATAAAAAATAAAAATTGACTGGATTTTTTTAATTTTGGTGAACTATACATACAAATATTCGCTACGTAATGCACAATATAGGTAAACTAATCGCACGTTAACGCTTATAATAATGCAAAATAGCATCATAATGTATATTTCTATCGTTTTTCTTACACGGTGTTGGTGAGAGGAATATAAGCTAAGGTGCATTCTCATACGCATTGATGTGCACTAAGTACATCTATATTGTGCATCCCTGTCTCACAATTTTTTGTGTATTAACAAGTGTACAAAAATGGCACTGCTAATAGTGCTTTTCATTGAAAAATAAAAAACAAATAAACCGACCGACCCTTTCTCCTAAAAGAATCTAAATACGAGCCATTATAATCGGTGTTTTCGGTCAAATATATGAATTAATAAAAATCATCAAAATTAATTATTATTTACATTATAATATATATTTAGTAGTTTAATATTTTCATCTTACTATTTTATATTTTTTGGGATAAAATACATAATATATTTAATGTTAAAAAAAAACTATTGATTAAATGGTTCGATGTTTTGGCATATTTCGATTATTTTAAAAGTGAAGCTGATATCGAACCAGGCTGAAACTCTTCTCCATCTCCTGAGTAAATATAAGCAGTTCACTGGCCAGACAGTTAATTTACAAAAGTCAGCAGTTTTTTACAGCAGAAACACTCCTCAGGCCACTCAACACAGGATTTGTTCTACTCTGCAAGGTATTCAATCCCACAAGTCCACAAGATATCTGGGACTTCCTCTTGGCATTGGAAGATCCAAGAAAGATGTGTTTGTCTACTTGCTGAATTCTATTGACAGGAAATTGCAAGGATGAAAATCTAAGCTGTTATCTATTGCTGGTAAAGAAACTCTTATAAAAGCAGTGCTTCAAGCTCTACCAGTTTTCACCATGTCCTGTTTCAAGTTGCCAAAAAGCATTTGCAAAGAGATATCCAGACTCTGTGCTCAATTCTGGTGGAAATCTAAGGAAGAAGGGTCCTCTGGCATTCACTGGAAGAGTTGGACTAAAATGGCTCTCCCCAAGCTGCAAGGTGGCATTGGTTTCCATGACATTCAACTCTTCAATCAAGCTCTGATCTGCAAACAGCTTTGGAGGATCACTTCTCAGTCTGATCTCCTTGTAAGCAAAATTTTGAAGGACAGATACTACCCTGACACAACTATCTTTCAAGCAGCTAGGTCTAGTAAAGGCTCTTGGCTTTGGAACTGCTGGATGGATACTCTTCCCATCTTCTCCAAGTGGCTGAGAACTGAAATCAGAGGTGGAGCAGATACAAGGATAGATGATCACAACTGGGTCCCCCACCTACCAAAAGCAAAACCTGAAATGCTGCAAATTGCCAGAGATCATCTCACTTTTGTTAAAGACCTAATGCTTGAAGATGGTAGTGGATGGAATCAATGGCTTGTGAAACAGTTATTTTCAGAGGAAGACAGTGCTGCAATTTTGGCTATCAAAACTGTGAAGGTGAATGAGAAAGACAAAATTTTCTGGGGTCTGGATAGTAAAGGCACCTTCTCGGTTTCAAGCACTTACAAGTATCTGGCTCAGCAAAAAGTTCAATTGCTTGATCAACCTGAGAGCAGCTCATCAGCTCAGATAATGAAGAAAACTCTCAAAAGAAGCTGGTCCTTAAAAATTCCAGAAAAAATCAAGTTGTTTATATGGAAATGTATCAATGGTACATTACCTGTGATGGCAAACCTGCGTATGAAGGGACTTGAAGTGGACTTATGCTGCAGTTGTTGTGGAGAGGATCAAGAAACCATCGAGCACCTGTTTCTGAAGTGTAAGAGAGCCTGTCAAATATGGAATCATGCACCAGTGTCTTGGGATGAACTCCCTACTCACAATATCTCCTTCAAACACTGGTGGCATCAGGTGTGTTCTATACCTAAATCTGAAACTTCCACCAACAGAATACAACTTACTACTTATTTACTTTGGTGGATGTGGAAGACCCGAAACCTTTGGATTTTTCAAAAATCTCTCATACCTGTTCATTTGGTGATAAAGGCAGCTTTTAAGGATTGGAAGGAGTGGTGTTACATTAGATAGCTTTGATGTTTGTGTTAGTTTGTGTTGTAGTTGGTTGTGTTCTTGTTTAGTTTTGGTTTTGTTGCTTGTATTTCTATTGGATCCTTTTGTTATTTGGGACAGGAGATACTACTAGGCCTTGTGGCAGTGGTTAGGACCTTTTATTCCCTAGTATTGGATTGGTTTGTATTGTTTGAGGTTCTAGGCCGTCTTGTAGATGTGCCTCTCATTTTCTTTTCAGGTCTCGATTGGGAATTTTCCCCTTGTATTGGAACATTGTTCCCGTTTTAGTTTATAATGACATCTATCGTTCTGAAAAAAAAAATGTTAAATGATCGATTNAATAATTGGACCGAATTTTGTAACTGTGTATTATGTGGGTTGAAAAAATATATTTACCGATTGACGATGTATTAAACGTGTATTTTTGTTAGCATTGATATATTAAAAAAACCAGTCAATATGTACACAGTTTTTGTTAATCGGTTGATGTAAATATTTTGATATTTTTATATGTTTATTTAATAATTTATATTTATTTTTTAGGATTTTCGGTTTTTCAATTTCGACCGCTATTGTGCAATACAACTTTCATAGGTCTGCAATTCAATAGCACTATTGTGCACGCACAATATAAAAATAAATAAATAAATAAAAAATAACAGTACTAATAATATTTTTATATAGTTCAGGCAGTTTTCAGTTATTATAAAAAAAGTAAAGCTGACATCGATCTGAAATAAAAAGTACTTTTAAAAAGTAAAAACAATAATCGAACCTAAATATTTATTTTGGCCGATTTATATTGATATCGTACAATTTGGTATTCATTAATGTGCAATTCGTCTCATACTATTGTGCGCGATTTCAATCACTATTGTGCAATTTCAACCAATTGAACTCTTGTCCCAAACAAAATTGAAACCAAGAAGAATTAATAGGTTTATTCCATCGTTTAGTCGAACTAATCAAAATAACCGAAATATATATTGTTGGTTTTATTAAAACATATTTAGCATTTTAATATTTGTATTTGACATTTATAGTTTTTGGCTGAAAAATAATAATATATCTAATATAAACATAACAAAAATAATATTTTTTATATAATTCGGTCGATTCAATTATTTCGGTCATTTTAAAATTTAAATCCGATATCAGAATGTAACAACCAAATTTCTAAAAGTAATAACATATAATTTAACAAAATATATAAATTCGAACCAAAATTTTAAGTTCGGTTGGTTTCTGTCGATGTTGTGCAGTCTGACAGTCATTAATGTGCAATTCGATAACACTATTCTGCGCGGATATTTTTAATGTATGTTTACACATTTTATATGGTGCATCTCATTTTATATTATTGTGAATTTATTAAATCTTTAATAAATTGTAAATTTGATCCATGGATTAGATAAAATGTTTGAAATTGCAATATACTCCTAAAAAATTATTCAATTGTCAAATTGAAGTCCCCAATCCCTAAACGAATTTCTTGTCCGTCCACTGCCACCGGAGGATTGCAGGCGAGTTCAACTTCCAATTGGGGCTTGACGGATTCCGATTTCCGGCATATCCAGTTATTGACGAATGAATATGAGAAAGCAAATGAATATTATGAGGGGAAAAATCAACCATCCTCAACTTAGTACTTCTACATGTCGGCAATGAGCTCGGCGATGGCGGCTAGAGATCGGGACGGACTTCTTGGGCTCTGGTGTGTATGGTCGTCGACAGAGGTGCATCGTCTCCTTAGTGATTATGTGTGTGAGTCGGGCTTGTGTATGTTCGTCTGTCGGACATGCAAGCCGACCAAAGTTATGGTGTGGGTGAGAGATTGCAGCAGCAGTCGGATAATCGTCGGGTGACAGTGCGGCGGCGCTGATCGAGTATGTGTGGCGATCGGGCAAGGGGACAGGTAGACAGCGGGCCTGTGTGTTTTATGTGTGTGTGTGTGTGTGTCGGGTCTTTTATTTATTCGTGTGTGTTTTGTGTGTAAGAGGGTGGATGATGATGTGTGGTGGGGTTCACAGTTCATTAGGTGTTGGGTTTGGTGGTTGGTGGCTGGTGGGGTCCATTAGTATAGATAGAAATGTCAAAAATACCATTAATGAATGTAAAAATGCTTTTTCTTTTATTT